AAGTCCCTCGGCACGCCAACCTTAGACTAGGGGTTTATTATCGAGGTTGTCTCCTCTAGATCCATCGTGTTCCGTTCCTGGACCGGCAGGTCAAGGTTAACAGGGTCACCTCGAGAAGGATGTGGCTCTTCGCTCACGCACGACAGTCTCGAGGTAAGAGTGGTATGCCAAACCAGAGGACTTACAGACAAGGCCCGCCCTTTTCACTGTTAAAGTAGAAATACATGTACAGCCAGGTTTGGAGGTGTCTAAGGGGAGACAGCTATTGTGTCTCACAGCCCAAACACCTTTCCGTCTTTATCCCCCTGGGTCTCCTGACCCTAAACCCCTAGATATGGGCTTTACACGGTTATTGACCCCGATTATATTTATTGCATTATATGGGCTATAAACGGTTATAGTCTTCAATTATAACATTTCTAATCATGTAATATGGGCTTTAAACGGCTACCGACCCCATTTATAATATTTCTAATAACATATTTTTACCATGGGCTTTAAACGGTTATCGCCTTCATTAATAATAGTCTAATAACATAATATGTGAGGCGTGCTGACAAAATGAGTTACTTCTCGCAATCCACAAATGGAGATACTGACCAAAAATTGACACTCGGGTCAAATTTATAGATTTTGTATTGATGCCATATTGTTCGTTCAGTAAAATAAGCCTTTTATTATTTCATACTTCATAATGAATAGCAAAACCTTCACCAATGAGCGTGATGTATTTATTTCCATAGAGCTCGAATCCGAGGCGTAACTCTTTTTGTCAGCACGCCTCACATATGAACTTTAAACGGTTATCGTACTCGTACTCATATTTCTAATCACAGAATATGGGCTTGAAAGGTTATCGTCCCCTATTATATTTATAATCTGTGAAGAGCCGAGGAAATAGGTGGGTGCATAGTAGTGCATATTATATTACTTGCGTAGTTTTCACGATGTCCAGTTAGTATCGCCTCGGCGAACAGTGTAATTTATTATATCGGAGTTTCCGGCTGTTGTTATGTTTTTTTCATAAATAACATCGACTAGAAAAAAAAGTACAAGCTAATTCAAAATCTTCGTCATGTCTTTTTTCATTCCTTTTTCTCCTCGCTATCATTTTGTCTCAGTCTCAGTCAGCGCAAAAGCTACGTAGATCTAGATCTAGATCTAGATCTAGTACCGGAAGAGAGGCGAAAGCATCGTTCAGTCTTCTTCCTCAAAAAGCCACTACAGCACAGCTGATAGAAAAACTGGCCACTGCAGCAGTGAGTGCCTATTCCTCGCCTATCTCTGACCCCGCGCAAACAAACCTCTCACCTCCCTCCCCC